AAATCTGCACATTGGGCTTATCCCACTGCCATGGAAGTCAGTAACAAACTCTCGTGATTTTAGATCACAGCAACATTATTGCCTATTAACACAGAAACTTTTAATTCCTCACAGTCACATCACTCTCCCAGGAATTAATCGAGATGCTCATTAAAGTCATTCAGCAGGATTTGGAAATACAGGGTGTGGTAGAGCAGAACTTGCCCAAAACAAAAATAGAACTTCCTAAACTGACAATTAGTGACAAATAATCTGCAGATTTGGAACACTGGCTGCACTTTGTCTTTTTCAGCTAATCCTATTTTACACAAAGAGACTGTGATGGTAAGTTATACAGCTCAGAGCACCCAGCTTCTAACAGGAGAAAATAATAATCCTATTATGCTTTTCATTTTTCCTATTAATAATTTTCAGTTAAAACCAATCTGAATGAGATAAAACTGAAAACTCAGTTTCTAAGCCAATATTAACTAGAGATTTCTATGTTTTATTATATATTTAGGTTCCTCTCAAGAAAGCCAGTATGTAGCTACAAGAACAATTAGTCATTCAGAATTCTGTCAGCTGGACTTTCCAATATTAATTATGAGAACTGTACCTGTTCAGGACATTATGTGGTGATGATATTTTGAAAATAGTCCCTAGACTGTTTCATTGGGCACTTTTCCATCATCCACAACCAGAAAGGAATATTTGGGTTCCAAAGCACATTTCTCCCAATCCTGATTTTCCAGATTCTAGATTCAAGGTTATTTTCTCTGGAGTCCTTTGACATCCCATAGTTCAGAATGCAGAGACCTGGGTTTCTCTTTGATTTGTGGGTTTTCAGTCTCAGGGTTATACCACTCAACATACAGGCTGCTGCTGACCAGCTCTTCACTGAACTGTCAGAAATGAAGAGGTGATGGTATAATAAGGCAAAATATCTTATCTCATGGTGTCTTACAGATATTTTATAGGGATTTTGATTTTTTATTATACCTAACTCTAGTCTTCTATAAAGTCCCATGTCAAATCAGCCTTTTTATATGAATTAAGCTGCACAAACTAGAACCATTTACAGATTCAGGAGTTTCTGAGGTGGCACTGAGATGTGTGCAGAGCTAGTCAAAGTTCTCAGATAGATACAGGTAAAAATTTTGGACAAGAACAAAGTAGAATAGATGTGAAAACTTTCAATTACTTTGAGACTGAACCTCTTAATTCTATTGTTCCCCCCATATCTTCACTGTCAGAACTTGCATTTTTAAAATTCCAGTTTACTTATTCAGGTATGAAAATATCAGATAATATGCTAAACCTTTCTGGAAGAGATAAGTACTTGGGAAACCTCTTGCAGGAAAGGAAAGTAAGATATACTGATGCAGGATATTTAAAGAAATATACACACAAATTCCACTGAACTGGTATTATCTTATTTCACATATAAAATATGGAAATATACTTTAATCCATCTTTAACCTTAGGTTTTTCATCAACTGTTGTTGTTCTTTTTCCCTTCTAAAAGTCAGCTTATCTTTTTGTGCTATATGTTGGCTTATCCCTACTTACATGCCCTTGAAAATTTCCCTCATTTTAACCTCCTAGGTGTCCATAAATGGTCATGTAAAAGAAAATAATTTATATACTCTGCAAACATCTTTGGTGATTTCAGGAGAGGAACTGAAAACTCTTTATAGCATGGACTCCATCTTGCATCAGCTGGCTCATGGGCACCTTGCTTCCCCTTGGGGATCACTAATTTCTACAGTAATTAGCTGAGTGGAAGAGAATCTGCAGGAAGGGGTTGGGTGAGGTGGCAGCAGAAGGGTGAGCAGGCATCTTTCTCTGAGCCAGTTTGAAAATGACTTTTTCTACCAGTGGAGGAAAAGAGAGGCTGTCCATTTCCAGCTAACAAGCCAAGGAATTTTGGGAAGAACTATACACCCACAGTGCATGCCATGAAAATTTTTAAAAGCAAACAAACCCCATTAGTGTTGTTGGTAATTAATTCTGTAGGTTTGAAAAATGTGATTTTACGATATACATTCTATTTATAATGCTCTATGTACATAAAAACAAATATTTTATAACCACAACATGTTCACCATATCCTGGTCTATGATCTGAGGAATTATATACAACACTCATGGATGGGCAGTGTGCACTACTAAATATAGGATATGATGGTGGAAAATTTTGCCAGCTGTAAGTACTTGGCACTGTATTATGCAACTTTAGTTTTTGTTAGAGCTCCTTGGCACAGTATGGACAGTTCTTCCCTTTTTACCTTATGTAGGTTTTGGGGAGTTATTAATTTCTCTCTCCAGGAGATTTCAAGATCATTATTGTACTACAAGTTAGCCCAGCCCACCGCATCTTTCCCTCATTCTCAAAAAAAAATAATTATAGTGCTATTATAAAAAAGAAATTATCTTTGCTGTTTATTCAGGAAAGATTCATTACAATTGGTGAACAAGGGTATTCTGGAAGGAAACTGCTTAACAGAATACAGAGTTCTCAACCACGTGCAAATGCCACAAGTGTGTCTGTTTTTAGTGCTTTTCCTGGAAGATGCAATGGAAGACAGACCTTTTAAATTATTTTAACTAAAGAAATGTTGGACTGGATTAGAGGCAAGTCCTGCTTTTCACTCTCTGTAGGAATATTCCAAGACAGAGTGAGCCCATGACAGGGGAGTTGCAGGAACCCTGTGCTCGTCAGAGAATTCTGAGCTGCCAGAACGTGTCCCACAGAACCATTCCATCAGCTGAGCTAAAACAGTTCCACAACTGCTGCAGTTCACAACAGGGACAGCTGGAAATGAGGAACTGCTCTTCACTACAAGGTCAAGAATGTTCTGAGCTGCTTTACCTTGGTGGCTGATGTGTCCCATGGGGTCATTCTGACATGGAAATTGCTGTGGGTAACGCAGTCTCACTAGGCACCTCCACAGTCCCTGCTATTCCTCATGGTAAATCTCAGCTGATTCTGCATAAAGGGGGTCTCTTTGTTACTTATGACCCATCTTTGAAACCTGTAGGAATCTGCATTGAAAAAGAAATTAATGAAGCCCTGTGTTAGGCTCGTATTAAAAATGGCAAATGGATAGTCAGTCTTAAGTGATGTAAAAATCAAAGTACTGCAGTCTATGAGCTCTGTGTCAGAATAACCCAAGTAACACCTAATAGCAGAATATTGGACACAATTTATTTAACTAATTTACTAACTAATTTATTGTTGAGTGCACTATTTGCAAGTAAAGGATTGCTTTATGCTGTCTGATGTCCTGAAGCATGGCATTTTTCTAAGCTTTTATTGGATAGACACTGGATTTAAATGAATGGGAAACAAAAAGGATAAATTTTGCTTGAGAAAAATTTAAATTACGTGGCTCAATTCTCTTCCTTTCACTTCAAGGCTTCCCATTGTTTCTCAATAATTCCAATGTGCAAACACCTCATGAGTAAATTCTACTAAACCTTCTGCTGTGCCTTGTTCGGTTTTGACACCATGAACATGGTGAACAAGACCCTCTCTGTCTCACAGGTTCAGCAGAACAACTGGACACAATTAAGGCATGAAATTCATCTGACCAAGCACAGTTACCTGAATGGATGAGCTGTCACTGAATGCAGTGAAACAGGTAAGAATTACTTCTTTATACACATCCATGTTATAACACCTTTTTTTTGTTGCTTGCATATAGTTCACACTTTATTTTGTGAACTTTCAATGGGTACTTTTAGTCATGAAGCACTTCTGTAATGTGGGCCAGATTCTCAAAACCAGCCTATTAAATTTGCTTTAATTTATCAAATTTAAATTCCAGCTGCACTCTGCAGTATGCAGGATAATTAGAGCTAATTTTCTCATGAAGAAAGAACTTCCTGTAACAAAGGAAGTTACTCTAATTTCACATATACATTTGTGGCCTGCACAGAATTAAGCTCACATTTGAAAAATAACACCTCTTAGGGTTGGTTTTTTTGTTTTGTTTTTAAATTAAAAAAAAAGATGAAAAAATTGCTAAACTAAAGCAAGAATAGACTAGGAAGCAGCACAAGAGCAAATAAAACATTTCCAAAATGGGGGAAATGTAAATTTCATCAAGATAACTATTAGAAAAGTGTCATACTGCACCACAACAGGAACAACAACAGAAAAACCCAAGCTGAATAAAGCCACAAAACCCTGGATTTACAATGTTATTAACAAATGTGCTCACTCAAAGAATCCCTTCTTCTTTTCTTTCTGGTCACCCAAACTCTTGTTTATATAAAAAATATATCCGATTAATAAATGTTTTACTTTTGTTATATTTTTTTTCTATTGAAAAAATATTTTCATTAGTGCGATAAATTTAGAAATTATTTTTCATTAAATATATCCAGGTTGTATGCATATAACCATGTCAGTTCTGCATCCTCACTACCAGGAACAAAAAAAAAAAACTGGCAAAATACTATCTAAAAGTGCACATACATTGTTTGGGTCAGCTATGAATGATTTTGAAACCCCATTAACAAATAACAGACTCCTACCTCCTCAGTAATGGATTTAATTGTGAGAAAGGCTCATTCCAGAGATGTCCTGTTGTTGGCCATGGAAGCAACGATAGGCAAAATGGATAATAAAATGATGAACTAAAATCCACTTTTAAATTACTCTGTGGTATGTTGGTATTTTTCAAAAGGTTTCAGGTAAGTATGGTTTTCTTTCTGTAAGAGCACCTCTACCAAAAAATTATTCAGATGTGGAATTCAGGCAGAATTTTTTGAGTGACAGTCACAGAAAAGAACAAATGTTTTTTTTCCCCACTGAAGGGCTGTGATCCTGCAAAACTCACATCCTTGTGCTGGACTGATGACTTCAGTGGGAATACTCCTGCTGACAAAATTACCTTTGCAGCTACAATAGGATTGAAGCTGCCCTTCTTTAAACAAGCTCATCCAATTGGCATTGTAGAACACCAGTGGCTCCTGATCTTCAGAAAACTCTTTCCTCAGTTACATCTGCCCTTTTTTTTTTAATGAAAGAAAGAAAAAATTACTTAGTGCATTCCTGCTATCTCACCTAAATTAATGCAATTATTCCAACATAAATTGACAACAGAAATCAGGCCTCGTGTCTTACTCTGTGATCTGGCTGGAAGCATAATTTTTTCTGAGTTGCTTTCTGATTTTCATTCTTTGTCACTGATATACAATGGCAGCCTTTTCCAAGACTTAGGAAACACCTTGTGATTTACAAGCTGTAAATGAAGCAGTAAACACCATTATGATTACACAAAGCAGTTAGTTCATTTTGATATACACATAGATTATACCGATAGCCCAAATGCACGTTGTAACTAACAGAGGAGCTGCAATGCCTGGAGTACATTGGGATGCCACAGAACTCAAAGATGCCCTCGAAGGACACAGGAATGAAGAGAAGCTTCTGCCCAGGTTACGTGTGACATGCGGTGCAGATCTGCGCGGGGTTCCACAGCACGGCCATGCGGTCCTGCCCCTGCTCCCAGGAGTGCATATCCCATGCAAGAGTTTGGAAATGTAGCCCAGCACGTCTGTGTCAGTTGTCTGAACAAAACATGGAAGCTGGAAGTCTTAGAGAGGTACAAATATTATGTTAGGCCTTTGCTGACGTTTCCTTGCATGTAAATATGGCTATTGAAGGGTTCTAAAGGTAATACCTTGGATGTCCTTTAGAGATCTGTACTAAATGAAGATCTGGCCTGGAATGACCAGAGCCCCATTTCAGCAGAGTTTGCTTTTTAACCTCTAAAAGCAGTTAGAAGTAGGCTCAAGGCAACATGTTACCACACTGCTGTCCTGCATCTCCTTTTCTGCCTTTGTGCAAGGTCACTGCATCCTGCAGCCTGGAACTTCCAGCAGCACTGGGGCTGCACTGCTGCCCTGGCTGGAAGAGGACATGGCCAGCCTGCTCCCACGGGAATGATCCCATCACCCCACCCATGGCTGGCCCTCTGAGCTCTGCTGCTGCTGCTGGAGATGATTCCCTATCCATCAGCAGAGACCTGCATGTTTGAAACAGAAAGCTCTTCTGAAATCTGTGTGTCTGCAACAGAGCTGACAACCGTGCTTTACATGTGGTCAGTTTTCCAGTAGTAGAAGCAAATGCTGAGTATTACATTAAAAAAAAAAAATAAAAAGGTTTGTAGGGTGGTGAGGAATCCCAAGGATAAACAAATTTTCCAACCTAATCTAAAATTTAAAGCATAAAAAGTGTCGAGTGCTAAAGTAATTGAAAATCAAGAACCTTCCTCAAGATTTCAAACAGATTACTCTCACTATGCTTGCAATTATTCACACAATGAAAACTTGCTACATAAAATCATCAGTCATTTCTGCAAACAATACTAATGTTTTGAGGCACCAGCTTACCAGCATTCAAACTATTAGAAAGTAATATAATGATAGGACACATACTTTTGGATTTAATTAAGAGATAAAATAAATATTTATGTTAAACTTCTTTTTGATTGCACATTTGGTGTTGGAAGTTACATGGTCACAGAACATGAAAGAAGTCAAATACTTTTTGATCTACCAGCAAATTCTAAATACATCGATAAAGAAGCCACACCAGGCCAAATAGATTACTACTTTCAAGTAAGTCCATGAAAGTTTCCCAAATACTGTTATACAAAGTTACACATCCATGCTGAGTTATTCATCAATGTGTAGCAAGAGTCTTGCAGTAGGCCAGGATTTTATCGGCAGAGAACTGGTGGAGGAGCTGTGCAGTGTGATTAAAAATTCCGGTTTGGAAGCATTAACATAGAAGTACTTGTACAGTCTGAACTGGAGACTGCAGTTCTTGGAGTTGGGAAGAGCAGGAGGGAAGAATGAGAATATTTTTCCATTTTAGAAATGCTGAGGCACAAAACACAGTTGCTTCTATTACTTTCATACATGAAATCCTTTCTCCTGTATGTGCATCATGTGTAACCGCAAAGTCTGTAAACTGCTGACTATTCGTCTCTGGTGTCCAATGAGTGCAACTCCAATTCTTCTAATGTCACTGCAAGATAAAAAGTTTCATCTTGGATGCAAATATAATAAAGCCTCTGGTGCACAAAAGAATGTAATTATATGATGACTTCTTCTCCAGGACAGTTTACCTCCCTGGCCACGGCATATGAGAAAGCTGCAAATGTTCCAATTTTCTGCATCTGTCCATTTCAACTTTTGAAAACAGTCATTTAAGAAAAAGAATATAATAAAAAGATGTATTTAGAGCACTGGTGTTTAGTGCTCTAAATTAGTGATACTGAGGCTTATTAGTGATACTCAGTTAATCTTTCCAAATCTCAAGGACTAATCAGGTGAATTCCAATAGCCTATTTTTAGTAATGGGTATTGCAGCAAATGTTTCCCACTCATACTGAAAAGGATTGGGGCTTATACAATCAGTATCACAGTTCTGAGGCAGAAATAACTGAGGTGGTGCTTCTGGTGATTTGGGGAATGTGAGTGAGGCAGTGAGAGATGATTTAAAGATCAAATTAGCAATGAATCTTCCAGACTGACCCTGATTTCCCTCCCAGTCCCCCTTCATCTCATCTAGCCCTGCACCCCTGAGTGGGTAGCTCTTGTCTCCCACAGGGCTCGACTCTTTGGCAGGAATGAAGTCAGCAGCCACCAGAGCTCAGCACAATCCACCAACTTAGTTTTTCTATAAACATCCCCAGCTGCAAGAGCTGACAAAGACCACAGAGGCTCTGAGGACAGGAAACTTCAGATATGCCAGATTTGTCCATTATGAAAATCCCACACTGAGACATAGATATTGCCTGTTTATCCTCAAAAACTGTTTGATGATCCAACCAGTAAAGGAGCTCATGGGATAAGGCATGGCCTTCATGAGTTTCAGATGTGCACTTCCAGATATCTGCATCTGATCTCCAGATCTGTACGCTCCAGCTGAGGAACCACTGCAGAGCTTGCAACTATTCTGTGCTTAGGCTTAACATTCTCATGGGGTATGACAGACAACACTTGAGGTCAGCAAAAATATTGAGCATCTGAGAAATTAAAAGGAGTCAGTGTAAAGAATAAACCTTTACAGTTGAGAGTGGCTTTAGAAATGCAAGACCAATGCTTATTATCAAGGAAGGCCTGATAAAGCACAAAAAGAAGTCAGCAGGTCTCGAATAACACAAATTATTTGAAGAGAGAGGGAATATCTCAAAAAGTTGAAATGGTATCTAAAGAAAGTAGAAAGGATGATAACCTTAGATTAGCTGGAGAAGCACAGTAAAGCAGACTAAAAATGAACTTGAGGAGCAAACAGAAAAAACAACCCCAACAATGAAATAGAAAAAAGTAAAACTTATAATAAATCTTTTTGCAAACTCACTGGGTACAAGAAACCTGCCATAAAATGTGTAGAGTCTAATGATGATTTAGGCATAAAAGAACACTGAAAGAATGGCCATTGTTGGAAGACTTAACCATTTGAGTTGACATTCACTGTGGAAGAAATTGAAATGACTCCCATGCCAGATCCTTTCTGGGGGACTTGCCAGAGTATCTGTCTGAAGTGACTGCAGGAGAGGTTATAGGAAAAACTGTAAGAACAAGCAGCAACCCATGTCCAGACAAGATTATATTTAGGCAAAAGTTCCAAAAGAAAGTGAAGATGAAATAATGATAGTTGTGAGAGAGGGAGTTACCAGCTGTGCTCCACATGTTAAAAAATTTCTTGGTGCCTGAAGTATGGAGCATGGTGCCAGACAAAATGCTTCCAGGGAAGACCTGGGGAACCACAGACCCGTGAGTCTGTGATCATTACAGGGAGTAAGAGAAACTACAGCAAAGTACAAAATTACTGGATGCTTGGATAAATGAGCTACTTGAGTCACTAATGGCTTTTGCAAATAAAAGTTCTGTTTTACAAAATTACTTGTTTCCAGTGGATGCAGATGATCCATTTGATACACCTCACTTGGATTTCCAAAAGCTTTAGGGAATATTCCTCACTAAAGCTTTATAATGAAAATGAGGAGCAACTTCTGTGTAATATAGGGTATAATATTGTGTGGTCTTTGCATGACTAAATAACTGGCTTAAATACAGGAGGTTAGCAGTAAATGGTCAGGTTTTACAGAGCAGGTATTGATATAAATCTGCAGAGAGCTCTCCTGGGATAATGCTGAACATTATTGTTCAACAAATCAGTGAATAGTCTGGAAAACAGGTGAGCAAGAGGGGAACAACTCAGCTGGTGAAGCTGAATTGTTCAGGGTAGGAAGGGAAAGGGGCAGCTGTGCAGAGTTTTGGAAGGATCTCACAAGATTAAGTGACTATGTCATAATGTGGTAGATGAAATTCCATGTAGGTGAATATGAAATGATGCATGTGGGGGAAAGTCAGTCCTAACTTTACGTGTAAAATTCTTCAATCTGAACTGACAGCTACCATTAATACAGGCAGCCCCAGCATCAAATAAGAGATTGGGAATTCATGGGAAGGAAAGAGAGCAAAACAGATCCCATCATCATACTACCATATGAATCCATAGTTAGCCCAAACACTTCTGTATTGAGTGCAGGGTTTGCATTAAAAAACCACAGGGTGGTGTCAGGGATGGTCGGAACAATTTCATTATTAGGGCTGATAAAGTCTTGATGATATTAATAGCAACGTAAGAAAATATTTTTGCCACTGATTTCAGTGGTCTAGATCAAAACTGATTCCCCAAGAAACACACTCATCCCTGGCATTTGGTTTTGTTTGGTGTGGTCACAGAGTGGATCTATCAATTCTAGGTCTCCACATCATACATCTCTTGTGTTGTTTTGCTAAATAACTGTATTTGTCTTTTGTGAGCTGAGGAAGGAAAGGAAATGAAAGCACTGTTCCATACTCTACAATATTTGTGTGCCTGCAGCATTCAAATTCAAATTAATTTGTCACTGTAGGGATAATAGATTATATACTTACTCAATATTCATTCTTGAAACCATATCCAAAGTTGTGAAACCTGCTGCCATGAAGTTATTTTTATACTGACCCATTTTTATGGAATCCAGCCAGTCACTGACTGAAACAAACAAAGGATATTCTGGAACTTCACCAGGTGAATCTGGCATTCTGTAAACAAAACAAACAAACAAAAAAAAAGGCAAAGGTTACCAAGCAATACAAAACATGACACCCAATTTACCCTGGTTGACATACTTTTACTAAAAGGCAGAAGGAATGAGAGAGGAGTCTGAGCTGTAAAGGTCAGACCTTAACTGAGCATCTCTTTAACCTCTTGTCTAAAACTTATAAATCACTTCAGTCTGCCAAGCTGCACTACTTAAACAATACATTTTATTAAAGAACTGCAGCTCAGTAACACACTGAGGAATAGGCCTCTCCCACTGCACTTTTTGTTCCCCAAAACGTTTCCCTGCAGATCAACATGTTCAGGATTATAATAATTTTTGATACAGTATTCAATGTAGAGGACAATGAAAATTTAGCATTAGATGCAATTTAGGAAATTAAACCACCATGAGATGATTTTTACATTTACCTACAACCACCCCACCCCAGATGGCGCCTCATTGTGATACCATTATGCTACAGGAACACTTTGATTACAGTACTCAAAAGCTAAAACTCACCCTAAAAGAAGCCAAAAGAATAAAATGTCTTATCTTTGCTTTCACATAGAATTACATAAAGGAGCAAATAAAATGGAAGGAGCTAATTTAGTCACATTTATTTTTGAGCTCTTTCCCCTAATATTATCACAACTGAAACAGAAAGATGGAAAAAAAAAAGATTGTAATTTTGGGGCACTGATTTCCAGTCTTCTGTTGTGTGCCACATTTGGAGGGCTCACAACTTCCACTTGCTTCATGCATTTTATGTAGAGAAATTGTATGAAAAAATGCAGAAAATGCACACTGCTATTTGTAAAAGCTTTGTGATAGTCTTTAGAAAAAAGACACAATTTGTTGTAAATGTTGTAAATGAAAATTTAGACAGCAAAAGCCAGCCTACATTTACTGATAGAACATGAATTAATGTAGGAAGCAACACAGCCTCATATCTTAATGAACCAAGTTTCACCCACACATATCAAATGCAGTAAGTACAGTGATTTTCATTCATATTATCAGAATGAAAGAGGGAGAAGCTGAAGGACAGGAGAACACTGTTAAGTACAAACTGTAATTAAAGATCTACCATGGTCCCTTCCCATCTGAGTTACTCTATGATTCCATAGAAGGTTACCCAACAACTGCATCAAGCATTCTCAAATGAATAGGAAAAAGCTTTCACAAGCAGGTGAAGTCAGTCATAGTTCAATAAAGCATAAGTATTTTAGACCCTAAGTTATGATTTAAATAAAGAGATAAAAATACATTACTCTGATGCTAAATAAAGTGATCCAGGTACAAATAGCAAGTCATACATATTTATATTTATATTCATCCACCCATGGAGGATGCGAACTCTAGGGCATGGATATTTAGTCCCACAAGTTTCCCTGCTCTGTGTAGATGAAATGGCTGCAGCCCTCTCTCCAGGTTTTCCTACCAACGTCTCCATTCAGCCTTTCCCACAGCAAGGTACCAGCCCCAATTTTGCCTTGTTGCTCAGCCCTTGTCAAAAACATTTAAAGGTTCTCAGCAAGCCCCACTCAGGGCTTGGGAACCCTTTCAAAGCCCAGGGGGTCTCCATGAAAGCACCTTTATCTTATCTTAAGGTGACTCTCAGTGACTGAAGAGAGTGAGGCCACCTGGACCTTTGCTGATTTCAGCTGATATATGCAGGGACAGCTTGGATCAATAAGCCTACAAATACTGACAAATTCTTCCACTGCAGCCTTGCTTATCTTGTGTTTGCATTCATTTCTGAAACATTATTAATGAAAAAGAAAAAACCCTGGGCAACACTATCAAGAATTTGTTGTGGGATGGTAACAGCATAGTTGCTTATTTGGTCACTGCTGCCATTCTGCTGCAGAAAATAAAGATTTAGCAAGCTAAGACACAGCTACTTTCTGCAGGATATTACTCCAAGGCAGTTCACAAATTGCTTGAGCACTGTCAGATGGAGAGACAGGCTGCTGAATGGAGAAAAAAAATTACAAAGAGAAAACAAGCACATAGGCAAAACACACACACACACACACACACAAAAAGAACAGAGGGACTCACAAAGACTAAGGACAGATAATGCACAAACAGAACTCAGACAAAAAAAAATAATAAAAAAGCCTAATATAATCTGCATGGCTTGAGAAAAGAACCTCCTTGAATTAACAAGGAGGCAAACCTTAAAAGGGGCTTAAAACTATTTGAACCTGCGTGACTTTATGAACTCAGAACTTTGTGGTTCTCCCACCCCTGCCTAATGCCCTAAACCATATAATATTAGCCACCATGTGTTATGAAAAACCAGAATGTAACAAAAGGGTCTTACACAAGGACATCCTCCACCAGGGTGTGAAGGGTGCTGGGGTTGCGGATCAGCTTGTCCAGGAAGGTGACAATGTCACTGAACTTGGGACGGAGGTTCCTCTCCTTCTGCCAGCAGTGAAGCATCAGCTGGTGAAGTGATGCTGGGCAGCCCATGGGAGCTGGGAGCCTGTAGCCCTCTTCAATGGACAGGATAACCTACAGAAATACAGAAATCTCTATGGTTACCAGGCATTAAATGCTGAAAGGACAGTGTGACACTGATAATTAGAAACCAGGGATGATAAATTATCCATGGCACAGCCACCCTCACTTTATGCATTGCTGGGGCTTCATTTGGAGAATCAAGACTGGCAGGGGAAATATTTTGTAGGAGACAGGAAATATTTTGTAGGCATGTGAAACACAGTAGGAACTTTTTTAGAGTCACTGGTCATCCTCTTCAAACAGCTAAGAAAGTGGGAAGGGAGCAAAGAATTCACCAATATTATTTTTCCTTTCAGGGGACCACACACTTACCTGGTACGGCCACTGCATCCCACCATGCTCTAATATTTGCATTTTGACACAGTGTTTGTGTGTAGCAACACCCCAATACAATCAAGCACCACAAATACACATCGTGGCACCTGACAATTTACTTGGTATTCACATGTTTCTGCTGATCCTTAGAGTGTGATTAATTTTGGCAATGTCCCCCACACCAAGTTACAGCAATGTTATTTTGTGCAGTCTCCCTCAGAAACCTGGATGTCTGAGATGTTTGTGACTGAACAAAAGTTAATAAAATGATGGTATTACCCTAAAGTGAGTGAGACCTTTAGGTTCAGCAGATACAGAAAGTGTGTTTGGTAAAGATACAGAAAGAAGCAGATCTGCTGCCACAGGTAAATCACATGTATGAAAATCATGTAAATCACATGTTGATCCAAGTCGAAGGAAAGCTCATTTTTAGTAACATGGGTAGCAAAAAACATTGATTGAAAAGAAGAGTAGCAGCATGGAAAGCTTCATGGATTCATAACAGCTTACATGGATTCATCCTATGTAAGGTCTAAAAAACACCTAAAAAACAAGAGAAGGTCAGGAGGTTCTGCAATGAGTGGCGGTAGCAGTGGGGATGATGTTACAAATTACACAGTCAGGATTCTTTTTGTATAAAAAGGAATGCAAACCTAGTCAGTGGCTGATCAAAAATGACGCTAGGAAAATGACCAGCCTTAGCACACATGCAAAACCCTCCCACACAAAAATCCAGCCAGTGCTAAATGTCTGCTAATGTAGAAATGATTGCACACAGTATTTATAACCACACAGGGCACTTAGGAGGAACATACCTGCTGCCCTGATACCCACTGGGCTGCAAGGACACATCAATCATTTTCACACAGATGTATGCACATGCTGCAGACACATTAATGCAGCTGGAAGGGGCTACATTAAACTGTTTACAGCAAATCAATGTTTTACAGCACCAGCTCTGCCTTCAATATATTCAATCTTATTATCCTGGAATATATCCCCGTTCTCTATTTGAATTCTGAATTAATGCTGGCTCTGCTCAGCAATGCCTAATGCTCATGCTGCAAGCAATATGTAAATAAAATAAGAGTGAGGAAGCCACGTTAGGACCTGAGCTCCCCTTGATGGCATGGCAGGGAATGGAAGGAGCCTTTTGTAGCTGCTCACAGCTGCTTGTCTGTTTTATAAACACAGGAGACCTGGTCCTGTAATGCACACGCTGCTGTTACAGGAAAAAGTGCCACCATCCCATTGCCAGGGAAATATTTCCTTCAGAACCTTGTCTCCCAGTGATGAAAATGCCCCCACAGATTCAGGATGGGCAAAACTCAACCGCGTGCATGGAATTTTATTCACATTTATTTTTCTGTTTTTTACTAATGTATCTCAATTTCTCAATATTCAGTTTGTCAGAAGTAGGTTCATAAAACACTCCTGACACAGAGGGGCAGAGCTTAGTTGGTACTGGCCATCCTTAGCAGGTCAGAAATGCAGATTCTGAATTTTTTACATTTAACTGTGCCTGTTGCAAATGTGGAATTTATGAAATGTATTTTGTTTTTAAGGCAACAGGAAAGCTGCTCTACTTTTCAGAGATATATAGCATTTGCTCAACACAACAATAGAGGGCTGATGAGGTTTTGCTGAAGTAATTTATTCAGGAAAAACCCAGAATCAACCATAAATTTCCAGATATATTTTCTCTGCCACACTTTATTTTAACGTATGTCTGAAAATGAAGTCATAGTGCATTTTCTTTCCCCTCTTGTTCAAAAGGAACATTTCAGTATGAAGAGAAATGCCAGCTGGTACTGGGATAATTACAATTTCTCATTAATACCAGCACATTTAAAAAATAAACTGGAAATATTGCCTCATTAGTATCCCTTGTGAGGCAAGTATTATTTTTAGATTCTAAGAAGCAAGAGTAAAGATGTGATAAGTGTCTAATATTGCAATGGGAATCAAGTCTCAAAGGAAAAATTAGAGCATTTTAGATCCTTATTTATATATATATTTATTTTAGCTCTTGCTCTGCCACATGCATAGCACCCATCTCCCTCTGTTCAGAGAAATCAGATATGCATGTACCTAAAAGGGAAGAAGTATTAAGTTTTTCTTTGTAAAAGAAAACTGCATATTATAAAACATGTAAAGATTTTGTATGTTCACTCCCCTCACATGCCTTTTCCCCTTGTCAGTGTAAGGCTGACAATGCACAACATCAATCATGAAATCTGCATCTACAGGAAGGGCACAGCAACAGCTTGTTTGATGTTACACATAGCTGTGAAGTTTGAATATTAACAGAGTTAATATTACATATTGGTTATGATTGTCTGAGCAGTTTTTTATTCTTCTACTGTCTGAGCAATATTCTATTCTTCTGCTTCTACACAAAATTTACACATGTGCAATTTCAAATTAATTGGCAACTGGCGAAAATGCCATCTGAAAATGAAGCTGTAACCTTCCTGATAGTTTCATTATTAATAGTAACAGGGATTCTTGCTTCCAAAAGTTAACTGACAGCTTTTGTAATGAGACTGAGACAGAAGAGAGTCCAGAGGGACATTGTCCTGTGACATCTGAAAAATCTACCAGGAGGGAGAGGCAGCTGCTGCTGCCTCATGGTGCAGAGCCAATCCCAGGCGCCTGCCAAGTGTTTTGATATCTCTCAGTTGAAAGAGCTATATTAGGATAAGTTGGGTTTTTTCAGTATTACAAGAAACTTTCAGGAGTGTAAGGAGTTTTATTCTGTTTGCTGCAGTAGTTTCCTTGCATACCAATTACAACCCATTAAATATTCTTTTCATTTTTTGCCTTCTTTTTGAATACTGGAGCTGTGCAACATGCATTGATTTATACGGTGGCCTCTAACAGGTGTCCCAGTAGACTTCACTCACAGCTGTTCCACAAACCAAATGCATGGAATATAAATCTTCCTTCCCTCACATGAGCATTAGCAAGCCAGACTCTTAGCACAGTCTGTTCATCAGTACACTAGTTTCCTTGGAAAGTTCAATATCTTGGCTAATGTTTATTAATTAAGCAATAAGACACGACAGACTGTGCAGCAGCCCTAATTAATGGACACCTCTGGTGCCTGCCACACATCTAAGAAGTGCATTAATCAGCACCAACACAGTTTGGAAGTGACTTACCACAATAATAAAATGGTTATTTACTTAAACAAGAGCAATTCTCAAACTTAGCAACATTTTTAAGCCTCTGCATTATGCAGAGGCTTAAATTTATTATATATACAGTATTAATTTTATGAGAAGCATTTTGCAACTCAGTTTCCTTAAGTTCAGCTTCCAGATCCTTGCTGGGGAATATAAATAGAGGATGCTGGATTTGCAGAGGTGTTGAGTCATTCTGGATACCTGTGAGCAGCTGTAGTCTTTGAACACCAGACTGGGTTTATTTAGGGGGCATGTACCAGTTCAACACTTCTCTCATCAGCTGTGATCATCACTTACTTAGCCATGGTCTAAAAAAAGTGAGTTCATTTTCCAAAGCTGTATAATTAGAAAAGCAATTGGTAAGATGGAATGAAAAAAAAACCCCAAACCAGACCCAGTTCTGCAGAGTTTATACTTGGAAAACTTTTGGTGATCTACCAAAATGCACCCAATTCAAGAAATATTTTAATTGCTATCTAGACAAGGGCTTTATTATGATCAAAACCCAGCAAGTGTCTTAATGGTACTGTCAGCAGACATTCTGATGTAGCAGAACCTCTGACTGTACCCATGCAAGACTTCATTGACTGCTGTTTGCATCCTGTGTCTTTTATGAATCTGTTTAGTGCACATCCCTCTCTGTTGTTTTCCCTGCCATCTGTACAGTATCACTGACCTTTGAAAGTCCTATTATTTCTGCAAAATAAGCCCAAGTGAATTCAGGGCATTTTACAGTACTAAAAGAACAGTCCAAATATCCAGTAAAATAAACTTTACATTATGTCTAATAACTTGAAATTTCCCAATGACACTCGAAGTGACTAAAATGTACGTAGAAGGTCACAGATGCTCACTGCTCACATTCTGGCACTGAAATCCTCTGGGTAAGAGAAAAGGAGTCCTTTGTGTTTGGAATTGCTGAACTGCAGGGAAAACCCCCAGCAATTGGCATCAGCAGGGCCTGCAGCATCATTTTGTATCAACAGACACTTTTATTTTGGATGTAGGAGTAATTAAACAATGCTATTTTCATGCTGTAGCTGATTTTCTAATATATTCTAAATGGAGATGTTTGTGATAGTATTTTTTTTGTTTCTGACAGGTTTGGTTGCTTCTTTCCTTTTCTTCCTGAAACAGTGAAATTATTTTTTAAAATTAAAACCTCTCTCAGATCCTTATCCCCAAATGACCGATCAGCCTTAACAAGCAACCAGACTTGAACAGCTGAATAACTTAGCAACAATGTAAAAACAGCCATCTGGGAATGTCTTGTCAATTCTTCAGAACCAATGCAGGAATATTCCAGGCACATATATGAGAGAGGTTAAGGTGGCTTGGCTGATATTCCACATTTTGACACAGAGCTCGATGGCTGGTGTGAAGACTGAGTGTACCAGTTTGAGCTGTCACAGGGATCCATCAAACAGGAGAATTTGTGAAAACTTAAATTGTGGTAGAGAAAAAACTGTACCATTTCCCCTTTCCCATAAATTTTTTTTTCTAGAACAAACTTTCAATTATACTAGAAGAAAATTTGCTCTTTTTAAAAATTGAGATTCTAGCCTAGAAAGAGAACGAGACAGCACAGCGGGGCAGGGAGCGGCAATAACTTTTACAGCACATTTGAAAGAGATGAATTTTGGGCAGCACTCACGTCCTGGTTGGACATCTCCCAGTAGGGCCTCTCCCCGTAGGACATCACCTCCCACATGACGATGCCATAGCTCCAGGCGTCGCTGGCGGACGAGAACTTGCGGTACGCGATGGCTTCGGGAGCCGTCCACCTGATGGGGATCTTCCCGCCCTGGAGACAGCGTGGAAACTTGTCAGGGGATGAGGATACAGAATAACACGTGTTTAAAAAGAAAAGGAAAAAAATTACAACCTCTGGATTCTGATATTCTACGTTCTGACTTCCATCGGTTTGCTGTGTCAGTTTGCTGCAAGTGGAAAGGAAGAAATATGCCTTTTTTATGGAATTTGAAAAAAAAATATTTCATTTGTAGTCTAATTCACCAATACCTGCACCTTGTGAAAACAACCCAGTTCAAAGAGCAGAAAGCATTTGAGATGATTAATGTTTGTTCAGTCATATAAATAACCAGAACATGGATTTTGATTGAAAACATCCCGAGCCTTAAATTCCTAGTTCATTGACATTTGAGCTTTTCCCCTAAATGAAACAGAAACATCTACTGCAAACCTGAGCACTGAAAGCTCTTCATAAAATTGTATAATCAGGAAAGAAACTATACATGTTCTATATGCCTTCAGAGCATTACATTTGATGTTATATTTTACTTTTTGTTGTGCCCTTTAAATATCCAGGTGGAAAACAAACAAAATGTGCTTCTAAATAGGCATTTCCTTAGGATATTCAACAGTGCCATTCTGCAGCCTACAACTTAAAATCCAAGCTCTCCCACCAAAAAAAAAAAAAAAAAAGAAATCAATCAACAAACTTAACTTACCATTTACAAGACCACAGGATGCAGAATTTTTCTCTGACATAAGCACTTTATATCACTGAATCCTTTCTATTTTCTCATAAATACTTTCTGTGTGAAAACTACTTTTCCATCTCAGAAAAAAAAAAAGAAAAAAGGTATTTCCTTTCCAGGTACATCGCTCACTTCAAAAGTGCATTTCTTTCAAGAGTGTACATTTATTATCATTCTCACTGAACCCTTTGAAGAGAGAAAAGCAGTGCAGTGAAAGTGCCACTAGATGGCAGAAGGAGGCAGTCAGTAGAGCTGAGCTCACTCAGCAGTAGTTGCTTTCAACAAGCAGTAACAGATTCTGCTCAGTGTTATAATTGTATTTCTGACTCAAACAAAAGAGGAAATGAACTAGAACATCCATTTGGCAATGAAGAGAGGCCACAGTTAAAAACAAGTATGTAAATCTCTGCTAATTTGCTTTGAATGTATGAAAAATTATCTGAGACCTGCTGAAGCCTGACTTTGGCTGTTGAGAAGCTGTTTGTTCTACCAATAAATTGTTCCAAATCCAGGCTCTGTGTCTGTGGGGCTGTGCCACTCAGCCACGCTCTCCTTGCTGATGGAAAATGCATGGTTAACATTTATATTGTATGAAAACGACCAAGATGTCCTTTGGACATTTTTACATCTTTTTGCAGCTGCTTTTTCAAACCTTTTGCTTCCTCACATGTGGTAAATAATTTAGTGATTTAAGCACTAATAAGGTATTTTTTGTATTTTTGCCCAAGTACCTCCACGATGTGCCTTTTATTTATCCATTTTCCTGGTGGTCATCTGGCACATCAGAGGTGCAAAAGACTTTGTGCTATACCTGCTGCCCCCTGCCCTGTGTGATGCTCTTGGTCCCCTCCTGGTACAGCTGCTCCACTTCAGAAGCAATTAAAAATGCTTTTTTGGGAATGTGAATGAAAAAACAGGGGGGCAAAAGAGAGTTCTCACAGGAAATTCTCCAAGGAAAGGCCAAGCTGATTTCTTGTCTCTTCTCCAGGAAGTATTTATTTATACTTTCTAAAGAAACTGGGCAAGAGCACTTAGTGTTTGATCTCCCAGTCTGGTTTCAGTGGTCTTTTCATGGAATATGCAAGGCCAGGCTCCCTGAGGTAGTGGAAAAATCAGCTATTCAATACCACAAATGTGCACCTTACACAAACCAAAAGGATGCATCTGAGACACACAGAGTTTTAGGGTCTAACTGTAAAAGACATTCCAAAAATATTCCATCACACCTCAGAGTTATGGGCCTAGTCCTTTCTACTGGATTGGGTTTAGTTCTTTACTTATAAACTTATAAACTTTTTTTCTTTACTTATAAATGTTTTATCACCAAACTTCCTCAGAAAGATTCCTGTTTAGAGAGATTTATTAATAATTTATTGTTTTTTAATTTTAATGAAATTCTTATGTTAATAATTAAATATCTATTTGTAGGTAAAAGACAAAATTATACATGTGAATCAGGCCTTTGGATACTTACAGATTTTACTTTTAATCTATATATTAATATAGTATGGATAGCATAACAGGAAAACTATCTTTACACTGTATCCTTTTCTTAAATCTGATATTGTATTCTCAAATTATACTGAAAAGAGAGGGCACCTCTCGAGCAATGTTTGCAGCCAGATTTGTGACTCCTGGCTAAATAAAAATGAGTTTTAGAGAACCTTATCAGACTCTATAACTACTTTCATGACACAGCTTCACTGACTGATCCCTTTTGGACTGAAACAGTAGCGGCTCATTGAGTGTGAAAATGAGAACGAAGAACAGAATCTTAACAAAATTCAAGGCAGTTCACATTCAAGGGCATATGATGTGTTCAGAGTTGTAATGTAAAATAAAACACTCTTGTGCTGGCTCTAAAAACCTCTAAAATTTTTGCAATGGATTAATCTCATGTATGAAATAGTTATATTCATGAAAATGTGAATTTCAGTACTTAATTATGGTTGCAGAATATATTTTTATGCAAAAAAGTTGTTTTATTTATTTGAAAGGCATTCAAAAGGTGGAGATTGCAATATGAGTACCTTAAGGAACATGTATCACTGAACAGTAGTAATAGCTGCTCATGCATAATAAAAGAACACCTAAGGTTTAGAGTGGCTGAAAATATATTTCCTGTTTCTGATTAGAGTAATAAACAGCATTACTGATATTGGATATGCCTTTTTATATTTTAATCTAACTGGGGAAATAATAAATGTAATACTTACTGTTTGCACAATGCCTCACCTTCAAATTAAGATAATTGATAAATCATCTACATTTTGCTGCTATAGCAATGAGATCTCTCAGAGCTGCCTGTGTTAGAAAGCCCTTTTTGCTTTTAGGTTATTTTCTCTTTTTTTTTTATGTTTTGGGGGGAGGGGTGGGGAGGAGGGGCAGAATGGGTGTTAGGAAATAAATTGTTTTTCTGCTTCATCTCATACATTAATAATGATATCAGCGATAACCTAATTTTGTTTTCACACAGTGAAATAACACTAACTGCACTGTTCAAATAATTAGAATTCAGCCTTTTTTTCCCTGTATGCTGCCAGCTGAACAGTGCCTATCTCCTGATTTTTTTTTTTTGTGATTGTAATTTAATAAGCAATTTTACCACACAGCATAAGAGTCCCCTTGGAATTATAATATTAGGTTCACATTGCTTAGCTTGTAGAACTGTTCAGAGATGAGCCCTTGAAATGAAATTTACCCCCTCAGCCACACCTACTCACACACTGGCTTTCCCTGCACAACTGGCACCAGCACAGTTTGCCACCCATTTAAAGGCAGGACTGGAACTCCGTGGTGCAGAACAACTCATTCTTTACCTCAGGCCATGCATGACAGACAGACAGTTCTTCACCAAGTGCCATCTCGGAGCTCACACCACCAAAAAGTGCTTGTGATATCCTGTGCGGCCACAGCTGTGTTTTTACTTTCTCCAGTTTCATTTTTTTCCTATTCTACATGTTAGACATCTCTTTAAAAGCAGGAGGCATTAACAGTTCCTTTAATTAAAAATCCAGCCACATTTCCAAACTCCAGCAGAACAATGTAGCTGGCAGCTACAACCCATGATTCTAACAAAAAAAAGGTGGGGATGCATCAGCAAGCTCCAAAATGTGTGATGTGAAGAAACAAAGGAGGAAACCTTTGTGATCTCAGAACTTCTGGCATCCCCTGGGAGCTGATTAAAGTGAGGAGGGGTAGCACTGAGAGCCTGGCTGTGCCCCAGAGGTGTGAGAAATGCCTGCTCCTGTGGAAAAGCCCTTTCTGTATTTCCCTGCAGTGACAGACACTTCAGAGGGACTGTCACAGTGCTGGCTGCAGGTGTCCCAAATGCTGAGGGGCAAACCCATCAGCTCCAGATGCACAGGCATCCAGAAGGGTGTGATTGTGGGAGAAAAGGTCTGAACTGTGTGCACCATTAGTGTGATCTGGCACAGGAATTCCTGTGCATCTGTCAGCTACTGCTCCTTCACGTGCAGTGTCACTGAATGGTGCAATCACTGTCCAAGACACGAGCAGAGAACCTGTCTTTATCTCAATGACAGAAACAGGGGGAAAAGAAGAGCTTCAGAGTGAAGAGAGAGACTAGTTTTAAATATTGGACATAATTCATCATTCTGTACAAAAACCTTCTGCCACTTCACTAGAGTGATGCTTCTATTTGATGCTCAAATTTTTCATGTGCAATGCTACAAGTAGTCAGAATTTAACATCCTCAAATCATAATTTAGAACTATTCAGTACTATCAACAGTCTTCTGTTGTGCCTATTGAAAAGTGTCTATTGAAATACCAGAGGAACTACATGGCAAGATAACAAAACTGCTCTGCAAAAGCATTTCAGAATTTGAGCTCATTATGCCAATTCCAGTTGGTTCTACCAGTCCTATTTCACTCAGAACTGAAATGAATAAACCCCCCTGATTTTCAAAAAGACTGAATTTGCTTTTAATCTCTGGGAAAATATTAATTTTCTTTCAAATGTCGTGATTAACAATGCTGAAGTTAAATATGTGGAACTTGATTTCCCCCCTAAGTTAGCTATTCAAATTTTCAGAACAAGTTATTTATGGTTTTGAGAGCATGTTAATTTTAGTGGCTGTTAACCCCTACATGGCACATCTATTTGTGTCTTCCAAAAGAGGGAAAGCTCTTGATGGATGGAAGGAATCAGCACTGAAGAGACTGGCAGAATTACAGCAGACAAGGTAGAATGCCTGTCCAGAGATCATCAGAAATACTTCACATTAACCAGCAGAGGTGAACCAGGGTGCTCCTCCAAAATACTGCACACCATCCTGTCA